ACCCAATTGAGCATCTCTGGAGAGACCTGAAAATGGCTGTCCACCAATGTTCACCATCCAACCTGATGGAACTGGAGAGGATCTGCAAGGAAGAATGGCAGAGGATCCCCAAATCCAGGTGTGAAAAACTTGTTACATCATTCCCAAGAAGACTCATGGCTGTACTAGCTCAAAAGGGTGCTTCTACTTAATACTGAGCAAAGGGTCTGAGTACTTATGACCATGTGATATTTCAGTTTTTCTTTTTTTAATAAATTTGCAAAAATTTCTACATTTCTGTTTTTTTCTGTCAAGATGGGGTGCTGAGTGTACATTAATGAGAAATAAAATGAACTTTTTTGATTTTAGCAAATGGCTGCAATGAAACAAAGTGAATAATTTAAAGGGGTCTGAATACTTTCCGTACCCACTGTATATACATAATTCTGCACATAAATGTCTGTAGGGGGGTACAGATATGCCAATTTATAAAGCCATTTTGCAATGTGATAAAGAAAGGAGACAGAAGCCAGCAGTTACAGCTCTCATGTTTTACGCTCGTCAATAGTTAAACCATTGTTTCCTTTTGAACAGAAAAGGCATCGAATACATTAAGTCCAATTTCAAAAAATTACATAAACATACCACATATTACTGTGCTCTAATTTAACTAAGCATTACCTGTTAAAATTGATAAAGCATCTTAAGAAATGTCTGATTTCGATATGTGGAAAATAAACTACTTTAGTTACACTCAAACTTCGCCTTGTTTATTCCCTACAGAGGCCACAGCGGTGAAATAGAACAGCTGCACAGGTGGACCAATAACTCAAAACTGTTACTTCTTAGAGATCATTAGATCCCCTCTTAGTGCAATGCAAATAATCAATCTGCTGACAAAGAGTGACTGTAGGAGTTCAGTACAAAGCCTTCTAATGTATGGAGCTGGCTGTGAAGCTACATGAAGAGCACAACCATGGGCAGGAGTCATTAAGAAATACAGCAAGATTACATCAATCTTTTGTTACTTGAACTATTTATCATCACAAGATTAAACCTGAGGCTACTCAGTGGTACAACACATTTAATAGAAAACCTGAAATACAAAAAAAAAAAAAAAAAAGAATCAAGGAGAAGCTGCACACAGACATGTTTCCATTGGGAAATACAAACAGAAACCCAACATTGTTTTTTAAAATATGCAACGGACCAATTAGTGGATAAAAAATACTTATGAACTGTATATAAATAATGTCACCGTGAGTCACCTTTCATTCAAACCAGAATGAGACAGTGTTGAGTAGTAGTGTAGATGTAACATTTGGATCAAACAGGAACTAAACATGGTTGGGCTGGATGTCTGAAGTACAACAGCTACTTGAGTGAACGTGTGGATACAGGCTGAAGATAAACACTGTCACAGACAACCTGAAGCATCAACCCAAATTACAGTTTTGAAAGACAAGTCTCTGCTTTTTCATTTAAAGTACAGTATATCGTGTTTTTTTCCTTTTTACTTAGTGTGTATTCTTTTTAAGCACAAGAAAACCAAAGTTTGTAGAAACTGAAACACCCATGGGGCTATTAAGTATATTTAAGTGTCAGTAGATTAGAACCCTAGTGGGGAAACGGTGCAGTGGTTAATTGAACCTTTAGATGGCCTGGTGCCTCGGAGGCAGAGCTCAGAAAAGAAGAGAACAAATGCCTTAGTCACATCATACAGCATGGCTCGGCTATTATGGAGAAGAAGAAAAAAAAAAAAGGCGCATTCAACATATCTATTGAGACTGAAGTGACTGAAATGTTTAGAGTTACAGTACTTGGAATCTGTACTGTAGCGCGTCCTCTTACAGATTACATAACGGAAGGAGGACTCCTGCTCAGAACCCCTGGTGTGCATTTGCTCCCACCTAAAAAGATGGATTGTGTTTCTCATAGCAGCACTTGCTTTTATTGACCGTGAGGGCTGTTTGCTCTCGGCTTCTAAATCATTTGGTTTCCCCCCCGTCTGAAGACCAGTAGAGACTCTAGGTTTTTACATCAGAGATTCATCATTAAGTGGCTCCCTGAAGGGCGGACATAAAAGGAGGACAGTGCTAATGTGGAAGCAAATGCACTGCAGGCCTGCTGTTCTGAACACTAAATATAAACAGCGATGACAGATTTAGGAGAAAAATGATAAAGAACTTATCGTTGCTCATTGTCAATGGGGACCAAGTTAACTTGAGCTAAAGACTAGTAACTGTAAAATAGCTCTGACAAGTATTAGGAGGTATAGGGGAGTATTTAGGACAATAGCCTTCCATCTATTTCCATTTCTGCAGGTTAACATCAGAAACCAGTGTTGTGCACAAAGCGGTTCTTGCTGTGGGCACAGGGCGATGCTTGAGGACCCTCGGTGATGTGGCTAGGGCCCGGGGGCCTCTCCTTCCTCCATGGTGGCCGGTGGGTTGGGGTCCTTGTGGAAAGGAGTCTCCTTGTAAATGAACCAGCAGTTACTGGCCCACAGTATCAAGTTCAAAAAGCCAAATATCTGTAGAAAGACAAGAAAACAGATGAGATGATAAGTGACAACAAATTATGTGTACTTTGAGGAAGAGATGGTATATTGATATCATATCCATATTGTGATATGAGACTAGATATGGTCTAGAGTTGGACTATCGTAATATGGCATAAGTGTTGTCTTTTCCTGGCTTTAAATGTTGTTTTACAGTAAAGTGAGTTTTTTGAACTTACCAAATTGTTCTATCATTTGACTTTACCCACTTGGTCATTATGTCCACATTACCATTGATTATTTATCAAAACCATCATTGTGTAAATATTTTGAAAAAGCACCAATTTTGTTGTCATATTGACAGAGGTATTTGGTAAAAAATATGGTGAGATTAGTTTTTCTCCACACAGCCCAGCCCGAATGATACTTTAATTATTCATGATGTGGTGTGTTCCAGTTCAGTCGCACCATAAGCTCTGAAGGGTTCCTCTGCATATATTAGCATAGCTGCTGCTGGTAACACTGAGGTTTCAATACTGGTGACTATAAAGAAGGCTTAAAAATAGGTTTGACCTGTACATCAACTCCTACACTTTCATTTGAAATGTTATAGTTAACTGTACACTGCTGAAGCAAACTGTGGAACAATCCCAGCAATGGAAGGGAATGTGTGCCATCTGGTGTTTCTATTTGAAACACCAGGCTGTACTCTGCCACCAGAGCACTCATATACAATAATAATCTACCATCAGCCATAGTGATACTACACCACCACCACCGTTAACAGACAAAGTAGTGGTGCTGAGCATCCCACTCTAAGCATGGAACAGATGTTCTCCTAATAAAAAGCATGCCCCTATGGTTCAGTGCGAGTTTAAAACAACAATTAAATGAAATAAAATATAAATTTTAGTTGCTTTTTCAACTTATTAAAAAGGCTGACAGATCTGCACAATTCAATGCAGGAAAAAAAAAAAAATACTGTGGTGTCCATTTACTCAACTACTGTGTCAAAGTAGTTGTACTTTACTTGTATATTTCTACTTCTCCTCCACTACATCAGAGGTAAATATTGTACTTTTCACTCCACTACATTTGTCTGACAGCTTTAGTTACTTTTCAGATGACAGTTTTTCATCTCCTTCCTGTCCAGGTAAAACCAGATGTGTTGGTGATAAACTGAAGGATGAAGTGTTCCTTTATGTGTTCGAAGATGAATGTTTGTGATAAACTGAATGATGAAGTGTTCCTTTATTTGTTGATGTTGAATGTTTGTGATAAACTGAATGATGAAGTTTTTCTTTATGTGTTGATGTTGAATGTTTGTGATAAACTGAAGGATGAAGTTTTTCTTTATGTGTTGATGTTGAATGTTTGTGATAAACTGAAGGATGAAGTTTTTCTTTATGTGTTGATGTTGAATGTTTATGATAAACTGAAGGATGAAGTTTCTTTATTTGTTGATGTTGAATGTTTGTGATAAACTGAAGGGTGAAGTGTTCCTTCATGTGTTGAGAAAATACTCCTACGTCTTCAGCTAAATAAATTCTTTAAAAAGCTTCTTTGATCAGCTGGAAAATACATCGTCACAAACCTGAAAACAGGCCGTTTTTCTTTTTAGAGATACATGGTTCTCACAGGAGAGAGACTCTACAAACATATGATGATCTTATAGAATATGATGCATTGATGTAGATTGAACTATCCAAACAGATATAAAGGAGTTACAATGTAACATACATATTAATGCAGCAGGAATATTAACCCAGACACATCAGATATAATAGAAAAACACTTTACTGCACAATACGTTTACTTTAGGATTATTTTCCGTGTGGTATTAGTATTTTTACTGCAGCATTACTTTCAGGTTCACGTAAAGCTCCGAGCTGAAGGTTTAAAATGATATTTTTTACTTAAATTAAACAATTATCTTCATGTCATCTACTTTTTCAAACACATTACACCAGCAGGTTATCATATTTTATATTCATTGCTTTTGTAAATGGCCATGATGACTTATCCAAAGCAATTATCTTTGTAAAACTGGCCATTCTGCATACATGTTGAGGTACTGAACTATGATTGATAATATTACATGTGATACAAGAAGACAGTCTAAAGCAAGAAGCCAACAATTTGCATCATATTTTAAAGACAATTAATGAATATAATAAAGTTTTATGGTTAAAAACCCATTTTTTCAATGTAAGGTTCAGTTTTCTTGTTTTGTACAGCTGTGTGGATGGAGTGATCACGTCCAGGACTAAATCTGTCCCACGATGCTGTAAACTGTTCTACTTTTTGAAGAGCTTGTTGTCAAAAGTTCGGCTGGAATGTGCAGACATGCATGTCCAGTTTAAATCCTGGAGCAGACAGGATGAGTTAGAAAAGTTTTCTAAAAGACAGTTTCCGCTACAGCAGAGGTCCCCAACCTTTTTTGCACCATGGACCGGTTTCATGTAAGACAATATTTTCACGGACCGGCCTTCAAGGTGTGGCGGAAAAACACGACGAAATAAAATGATACGATCGGCATGAAAACAAATCTAAAATGCATAAATAAATACAACTCACAATAACGCTGAATCAGTGGGAGCCCTGAGCTTGTTTCTCTGCAACGAGACGGTCCCATCTGGGGATAATGGGAGACAATGACACCCGAAGTGTGTTCCTTATGTCCAGTCTACTCCGTAATTTTGTTTTGATTGCCGTCACTGCAGAAAATCCCGCTTCACAAAGAGGATGTTGGAAATGGAAGCAGGGTTTTCAGTGCTTTAGTGGCGATCTCAGGATACTCAGCCTTGATTTTAATCCAAAACACCAGCAGAGTTATGCATATTTTTAAGGCCACCGTCATTTACAATCTCCAGCAGCTGATCTTTCTCTATCGCCACATATTCTGCAGAGTCAGAATTACTCCTGATATTTAAATCAGACTCCTGATATTGTCTGTTAAATGAAGCTTTCATTTTCTTGGAAGTTGTAGGCTCTTCTCTCCTTAGTGGCCTTTCCCCTTTGCAAAGAAGCAAAGTTATTTACTAATTTTCGCTAGTTTGCGGGCTTAATCTTGAGGTAACGTATCACGTGACCAAGACAAGCGTCTTGACATGTGTCAAGAGGAACAGGCGGATGAAATTGCGAGAGAATCCGGTCATTTTTCAAAATAAAACTTCTTTCAGACTGATAATCAATAAAACGGAAATAATATAATATTTATTCTTTCTGTGCGGCCCGGTACCAAATGATCCCGGTGGTTGGGGACCACTGCTCTATAGGACCAACATGGCCACTCTGAGAATTTGGGATTTCTTCAGAAGGAAGTAATAGGGTCTGTAGCAGCTGCACTACTTTACCGTGACTTACCACAGAGGCATTGAGGCGGCCCATGGAAGGGAACTCTCCGGGCTCACAGATGTCCTTGCATGACTCGGTCGTGACTAGTTGCACTGGGTTAGTGGCCCATTTGACATCAGTCAGGCCTTTGCCCCAGGCTGAGGAAGACACAAGCCACAGGAAGGCAAAGGCAGCAGTCACCAACAGGTCCTGGCAGGGAGAACACAGCAAACACACACACACACGCAGTCATTAATTGAGGCAGACAATTATTTTATCGCGCATTTTATCGGCATTTTCTTTATTTTGAAAGTCCGTGGAGGAAGTCTTCAGCAGACTACGTTGATGCCGCGTGTGGGAGAAGTATAGATAAGCAAAAGCAAGACAAGTTAACAGATGCTACAGAGAAGTGGATACAAACTGCAGCCGGTTAGAATACATGGCGTTACAACGTGCACCAGCTGTTGCTCTCTGGAGACTACTGGACATCGCTGCAGTCAACTCAGCAGACACTTACATGTTAGTGCACCTATATGCTGAAATTCACGGTAAACGCACAGGTCGGGAGTGAGCGAAGGACTTTGAAAGTTAGCGGAAAGATTAACGTGAGACAACATCCGGTTTCTTCAGACGAACATCTGGTTTTCAGAATAAGATGCCAACAAAGTATGAATTATATTCACATTAAGTATAAAACATACTACCTGCATCTTGTGAGTTAAAAGGAAAATATACATATGATAAAAGAATGATATAATATTAGAAATATGATCACTACTGTGTAAAGGGAATACTGCTGTTAAGAAGAACCTTATTTGTTTTAAAAGTTTGCAAACCAAATGTTATTGCCCTTTTGTTCATATAGCAGTACTTCTAAAATAAAAGTGCGCAATACACTACTTTTGAATTCATTATTGAACTTTGCCATAACAATGCGATTAATCACAAAAAATCTATGCGATTAATCGCGATTAAATATTTGAATCGTTGCCCAGCACTAGTTTTAACACAATCATTAAGCTAAGCACTGCATTAGCCAATCACATATGTTCAAGCCCACAATCCAGGTAGATTAGTTTGTAAATTGATTGCCATATTTCTACTGTTAACCTTGCAATAGTCACTTAAGACAAAAGACTGCTGCCCTGATACAATCCGGTGAATCTACTATCTGTCTAGCATTTGAGAAGCCTTAAAATTAACAAAACTGGAGATTAGATTGTATTTCAAGTCTCACTGGAGCCTTTAATAACATGCCTCCACCACAGTGTTCTGACACAAGGCAGATTTTGGTCTGAATGGCAGAGATGTTAAAAAAAAAAAAAAAAAAAAGAGAGAAAAGAATACACCCCTTTTCTGCTCATACCTCAGGCTGGTGTGTGTGTGGATGGGGTTAGTGGGTAAGAAGACAGCTCACTGACGACCACAGGACGTGTACTCACTACGATGGGACCACGGCTGGTCTGGCGGTAGACGTTCTGGTAGCCAAGGTACAGGATCAGTGTGGCGGTGCAATAAAGGAACCCAAACACGCCGACGCACACAAAGAACTCTGCTGAGGACGAGAAGTCGCCCTGCAGGAAGATGACATTGGATAGAGTGCTGTTGCACAACGGTATCTTATACGGGTACGCTGGCAACCTGCAGGGAGGAGGAGAGAGGGAAAAGGAGATTTCAGCAGTCGCTCTGATGACTCCTCTTTACGCTCTAATTGTGTGATTTCAGAGAAAACAAGTCCTCACCTGGGTTACTCTTCTATCCAAGGAAGGCAAGAAGGGAGAACATGAAAGGGTTAAGCCAGACTTTCTTTTGTGTCACAAAGGCCCCGTGCACAATTTAAACAGAACTTTAAACTCTTGAGCTGAGATCAGCTTCATCATAAAGACATTTCACATTGATTAGGACATCGTCTTCCGACAACTATTACCATTGACCATGATATTAAAAAATGTGTTAGGTAAGAGGGATCCCTTGTCCAATTGTCGAAGTGACATTAATCACACTGCACTACAAGATAATGAGAAGTAAAACTAAAACTACAAAAACCAATATATACGGTATTGGTTAGTGAGAGGACACTTTGGACTACAAGGAAGTGTTGGTCCTCCAAGAAATGCTATACGTTATAGACTTAGTTATAGGTAAATAAATAGCAGCCTGAATAATGCGTATTACTGGCTGCTTTGATCAAATTGCACTGGACTGGACATACTCTGCGCAATCAATGTCAGAAAGAAATATAAAGCAGGCTGCCACCGTGGGAACAGAAAGGAACGATCTCTGGTCTAATGTTATGGTGCTGAACAGAAATCTACTTCAGAGTAACTTAAAATGGATTTTTAATCATTTGCTGCTTTAATATTGTACGGTCAGCAACAAGACCTCACCACGGCCCTGTTTGACCTCACTCCCTTCATGTGTCAGTGCCGCAGATTCTACACCTGCTCTCCCCAGATGTCACATTTAGAATTTGACCTTAGTGCAGTCCTTTAGTAAATAAGAACAAATGCACCGATACTGTTTAATGAAAGTGCAGCAGTCCTTAAATACCCTCTAAATAGCAGCAGCACACGTTCCGTTTCTGCTGACTGCTCATGGAAGATGTCTTGTGACAAATGATAGTCGTATCATGACATCCTGTGTGTCCAAAGACAGTGTTTCAAATTCATCATTACGAGCAAGCTGTAAAAACGAACAAGAGTGACCGACTGTTTTCTCCTCTAAGAATTGCATGCACATCATAGAACACAGTTTATTGCACTGAACATCATTTATACGGGCCTGCATGCATTTGCTGATATGTTACTATTTGAGAGATATTTTTATTGTGATATTGATCCCAACTGCATGGCCCAGTCCTTTTTGAAAGTGTATCTCAATGCAGCTGCCCAGCAATGGCTGCTCACACTAGTTACCAGCAGCATTTAGACTGACGTCAGAGGACTTCTGCAGTCATGTGACAACATAAACATACAGAAATGTCATTGCAAGTTAAGTAGTGTGTATTCTGCTATATCAAGACAAAGAAGCCAGCAAAAGGAGAAATAGGGGAGGATGGTGGTTTAACCTGCAGTCAGGTTAAGCCATACTGCCACTAGATGATGGCAGTATTCCACAGCTGTCTGGTTGGATAACTGAAAGAGGTGGTGTTACTGAAACAATCTGCATAGGAGCGCTCTAGTTTCCTACAGTACCTGAACGGGTAGCCAAACACAGGCTGTACAGGGTGATCCAGGACTCCTGGACATTTGACTGTTAAGTGGGTTGTCCCACGGTAACCTCCAGTGGTGGCAAAGGCAAAGATGGTGAAGACCTGTAGAGGCAGACAAAGATGTGAGGGTAAGAGGTCTTAAACGTTTGTTAAATGGACTGCAGTCTCAACCCATCAGGCTTTTGGTTTTCAAAAGAAATCAAACCTGATTTTGCTGCTTTAATGAAGATAAATTCATATACATTGATACAATCTTAATAAAAGTTTCTAATGAAATTAAATGAATAACAATCCTCCACCTGACACTGTGAAACACTGCCGGTGATGGACCAGACACACAGACCAGTTTGACATCCAGTGATATCCATTTATAATAAAGTCTACATATCTGTAAATATAGAAACTTTTAAACCTTTAGGGATCAGAGGTCAGCTCCTACATTCAGTATAAAGTTGATATAATGATGCCTTCTCCCTTCTCAGAAGCATACCCAGAGGTAACGGATGCATTCTGAAACAACTCCCTTTCCCACACAGGAAGCTCCCTCCCTGTTGCTTATGAAGCTGAAATCTTTATGAAGCTGAACGACCACACAATGAGCTTCAACCAGTCTAGCTTTCACAGAAGTCCATCGTATACAGTAGATAGACAGAAAGTGAATACTATACTGGTATTCTTTAAAAGATAGGCTGGTGATTATTTTTCTTCATCCATTGAAAAGAATGAATGTATTGAAACTAAATTATTTCCTCCTGATTCAATAACTAATCATTTCAGAAACTGGATCACCATCATTACAACTGTCTGATTTATTGGACATTTCGTGCTATATCATAGACATAAGCAGGGGCATTCTGAAGAAAGTACACACACATACCTGTTCTTCAGGCTGATCTCAACATACAGTACATAAACACATATTGTAGCTATGCCACTTCTCATACATACACTCCCTTGGTGTTTTTCATAATTCGCTGCATTACAACCTGCCATTAAAATGGATTTATATTTGGATTTGATGTAAATAAAAATTTGCAAGGTGAAATTAAAGAAAAACAACTAAAAAAGTGAAAAGTGATGTGTGCATACGTATTTACCTCTTTTGCTATAGAGCCCTCAATAAGATCTGGTGCTACCAATTACCTTCAGGTGTCACACAATTAGTTAAATTAAGTCCACCTGTGTGCAAACCAAGTGCCACATGATCTAACAGAGCATCATCAAATCTATTATTACAAAACCCACAGACCAGACCAGGACCATTAATGAGAGAGGCAACAAAGAGACCAAAGATGACCCTGAAGGAGCTGCAGAGATCTGTATCTGTCAAAATATGTAATTATATATTTGGGAGCAGTTTTAAAAGATCTATGTCTACAGAAGGAACAATAAACCACAGAAAGGGTAAGGAAGTCGGGACGTGTTTTGTTTTTGATGGGATTTGTTCACAATGAGAACAATATGACTAGTGTTCCTGAAGAGAAACTGATCAGTAACCTAAATGTTGATTCATTGATGCTTTCCCCCTTTTTAAATGTTGAAATTAAGTGCAAAGTGGAACAGTACTTAAATGGATAATTAGACAGAAGATGAAGAGAACTCATTCATGCCTTTATCTGAAGAAGGGTTAACTATTGCAAAGGAGTTTTGTCTGGTCGGCCCAAAAAGACCATAGATAACTGGAGCATATTGAAACCATGGCAGGTCTCTCACATCTTTAGGGGACAGAATCAAACCTGTCCCGTTGACTAACTTTATTCAATTTGGAGCAATTCATTGCTACTACAACTGCCTAAAACTGTAATTCAGTGAGTTATTTCTTCTACTATAATTTACATTTTTTTTTAAAATTTGAATGCATTTCTTGGCCTTACATAAAGTACTTGGATTAGCTGCTGTGAGCGAAAGGAGCCATACAAATAAACTGGGTTTGCTTATTGAAGATGCTTAAAAGAAACACAAAAAATGCTGAACCATTTCAGAAGATTTTTATTGTGGTAGACACTTTCCTTTTTTCCTGCGTGTGTCAGGTGAATAATAATTCTAATGCAGCACCGAGAAGACAACGCTGACGTTGGGGGGTTGTTACTGCATGAGAATGAATGTCAGCAGAAAGCAAGAATAACAAGCTGACATGTTCCACTACGCTGACAGAGAGCAGACCCCAGCAGGAAGAATGGAAGAGAGGAACCCAGACCGTTTCCTCTGACCCTCACCAGGGACTGACTGTGCAGAATCACCGGGACGCCACACCAGGGTTTTGCCAGACAATCTACTGCTGTGCGGCACAAACTGCAGTCAGGAGTTTCAATTCCTGAGCAAAACAGTCTAATTTCTCACACAGGCGGTGAAGTAAGCAGCAACGTTTGACACAATTGGAACAGCCTCTCTTGAGCAACCCATGCTGGAACTTGGGCCAGGCTGGAAGAAGTTTCGTTGACCCATCCATCCCTGACCTCCTCCCTATGCAGACTGTATCTCTCTTAATACTACTTCTGCTTACTTCCTCCTTTCCTCCAGCCAGAACTACGACCACCTAGAGCGTCGTAGTTTGACACGATATGGCCGCTGACCAAGCTACCGTGTTTGAGTTGGGAGTGAGGGAGAGTGACAGCGAGAGGGGAAAACAAGGTGGACTATAGCACGCAATGTTTCTGTTATTAATAACTTACTGAACTCGATTTGGTAACCTGCCGACTCAAACCCTGACGTTATCAAGTAAGCTTACCAAACACAACTTGCGCATTACAACACTAATCTAATTCTACAAATAGTATAATACTTTAATATTAACGTAGTCGGATCTGCAGACACTGTGCAGAAATACAGGGTTTAAACAGAATGAATAGAAATGCAAAAAAAAGCTGCAGGCCATTCTGATTTAGAATGTCAATGTTATGAATGAAGTTTACAGCCCGGCCCTGGGAAGAGACAGAGGTCTCAACTAAGGCAGGGAGTGCCTTGTTCAGGTACTATGTTTGAGTAGAAGTTGACTACAATGTTGTTGAGATCCTGACTAATGCTAATCTCTCTATTTATAAAGGCAAGACATCACGTGCTAAAATAGATACACACTGGGAACAGAGCAGGGCAGAGTTTCACACATTATAGACATGCCACCATCATGAAACTGATATGTGGAAAGAAAATAAGTCAAGTGTTTCATTGGGATGGAATAGTTATGGGAAACACCTTTTTTACTTAGCTTTCTAAACATAGTCAAGCCTCAGTAAAGTAATAAATAAAAATACAATCCTAGAACTGAACATCAAATTAATACATAAATATGAACCTGAACATCGAAGTAACCATAACATAAGGTGGGAGTGATTTTACCTCCTCATGACTGCGACATCTATCATGTGTATGACACTCTTTACTGCTGACAACTACTTCTGCATACTACATGCACATTTGTCACTCTGAATTGAATCATTAATAAGAGAATATCTTGGTGGGATTGGTGGATTACATCATTGGAATATGTTTTATTTATTAACAATGAGCGATTTGCTGTTGTTTATGACCGGCCAGCATTACTTGCGTTTCATTGTTAAATACCACTCAAACCATTGCCGTTGGTGCATATTCCTGAAGTAAGGACGATCCTAAAGTGTTCAAAATGATTTGCTGAACGGATAGTTACATGGCTGGATTATTTGGAAGAGATTGGTAAATTATATTGACAGTTGAATGACTTATTTTCCTCTCTGTCTGCCTGTCTTGTATGGTGGACAGTAGTGCTCCAGTATACCGGTTTTAATTTCCCGTATGATATGAATTTTTCACACTGTCATACCGGTGCATAGCCGAAACAACTGCTGTCACTCAACAGGCAGCAAAATATATTGTTCGCTGCTAAGAAGGCTACAGTCGGAGCTAGTTGTCTTAACTGTATTGAGAGGGACCCCTATTCATGGTTATAACGACAATTAATAACCCACAACTAACGCTCTTTAACAGGGCAAAACACCACGACACAACAGTTTGTGACAAATAAATAATTTGTAACACTAATAATTGTACATTTATAAAATTTCACCGCCGAACGCCATGCTGGGTACAGCTCGCTCGCTAGCCCAACAGTCTGTTAACAGCGAGAGGCTCAGTCTCTACAGTAACGTTACATTAAAGAACAGAAAAGAGCGATGCAGGATGAACAAAGACAGACCGGAGATGCACCGATAGAGTCTGTGCCCAAGGGAAGGGCTGGGTCTGCTGTTTGGAAGTGTTTTGGTTTCAAAAAAAAAATCGACGTTTTGCGAGTTTTTCGAGCCACTGTTGTTGCAGCTGGTGATAACACGAGCAATTTACTCCATCACCTCAGCAGAAAACATGCGTTGGAATACCAAGAGTGTGATGACGGCCGTCAGATTCGAGGCCGTCAACCAGTAACGTTAACGCAGTAAAGCTAAAGGGTCACACATCGCTTGAAGAGGCATTTGCCCGAGGCACTGCATAAGACAAGAAAAGCAAGCGGAGGAGTGACATTACGAACGCAATAACGATCCACCTATGCAAGGACATGGTCCCGCTACAGACAGTGGAGAAAGACGGGCTCAGAGCAATGATTAAAACATTGGATTCAAGGTACGTCTTACCAGGGCGACAATACTTCAGCCAAACTGCTTTCCCAACATTATACAAACAAAAGAGCACACCCTATAGTAAGCAAAGCCTTTATACATGACGACATTCAAATGTTATTATATTCTTTGTACTTCTGACAGACTAAGCCACTATGAACCTATATAAAAACACAGTTAAAGGAAAACAAAAATACCGTGATATACCGTGAAACCGCCAGAATCTTGAAAAAATACCGTGATACACATTTTTGGTCATACCACCCAGCACTAGTGGACAGAGAGCTGATAGTTCACAATGAACAAAGGTTTACTTTTGAAGTGGAGAATTGCTTTCTGAAAAAAATATCTCAAAGTATCTAAATAATAAATATCTAAAGCATAATGTAAATCTGTCATGCATTTATGGTTGGAGTGCCCCATCGGCCAAACGGATTAATCAGTCGACCTCAAACATCTTGTGCTGCAATGTCCCACAACGTGTTGATGACAATGCATATGTGGTTTTATACAAAG